CCATTTAACAGGAAAATACAAATTGCACACATGTTCATATGTTATGGACTGGCAGACATCAAGTCGCCAGTAAATGTGACCCTTATTGGGTAAGGTAAAACGTATGTACACTCGGCCAGCTGCATCCAAAATTTCAGCTGGGGAGGCGCTTAAAAGATAATTCGTCATATACTTTAGTTCTTGTTAAATAAATATTTCAACCCGCTCAGAACATTTTCGTTCATCCTGTATATTTAACGTTGACCACTGTTTTACTGTTTTTGTGCCGTGGCACGGTGCAGTGATCGTTTCATGCATTAATCGGTTCCAAATCTCTTACGTGATGACAAAGCCCGTGTGCTTCAATGCTGGACATTTATACAGCTAAAAGGAACTGCTACAGAACATCAGATGTGGTTACCTGTAAGTACGTGCGTTAGTGCGAGACATACCAATCGCAATGGATGCGCTTGTAGTGAAACTTCGTTCTGACTACATGTCGAAGGGTGGAGGAGTTCTTGGAAAGGCCGTCGATACGTGACTCGAGTTCCAATGCTAAATGGTCTGGAATTTGTCTGAGAGCATCGTGCCGACATATGCGTATTTATCGCCAATATTAATAATGATTAAAACTGCTGATTTTTAAAACAGTTTACAGCAATAATCCTGCACCTAAATTTTATAATAATTTTATTTATTCATATTTCTAAACAAACTATAATTATAATAGAAATACTAGTAAAATCCAATATCAACTTGACCTTCAGCTTACAAGTATCTCTCTCTCTCTCTCTCTCTCACACACACACACACAACATAAAGTTCTACTCTTCCCCTGTATTTATTTTGTAATAAGCTGTACTGAAATCATGGATGGGTGATAACGCCACGATGGAGGATTACCCGTGAATCTGAGAACTGGGGATTCTACGCGTAACCATGGTGACCAATGCGACCTGGGGATTCCCCAGCCAGTCATATCCGCGAGAAGATACGCATGTAGATGTTCATCTGAAGTGTCCTTCATTGCTGTCCGATTCTAACCAGCATTGGAACATGTCGACATTTTCGTTAACCTCCCCAGTATCATATATAAATGAAATTGGTTCAGCGGAAGACTAGAAGAACCACGACATTATTCTTGCATTTTCGTCGTCCTATCGCACACACATTTCTTATCCAGGTGTGGGACCCTGCAGTCTCATACGTAGTGCCCGAAACGCTAGTTTTACTCCCAAACCACGTGATAATTAGAGAAGCCTTCATTCTACTCAATACGTAAAACAGGGTTATTTTTTAAAGTCCGAGAGTAGATCAGCAGGTTAAGAAATTCCCCACCTTTTGTAAATCTGTAATTTCATTGCAGATTTCATAAGAACCCGACACTGTACTCTTATGAGTGAGCTGAATCCAGTACACAATCTCACACACGACTTCGTTAAGATTCACTTTAATACACTATCGTCCCAGCTACGTCTACATCTCCACATTGGTCTTAACAGCACTAGGTAGTAAACATTTCAAATTTTGTAAAATCGGCTGCGATTAAGTGTTTTGGTTCCTTCATTTCATGGCACAGTGAGAGTTGCCGGACTGGATACAATACTCTGTCGCGGTGCAGTGTCCTTTGGCATGGTCATGGCCAATGGAAGCCTGAAGTGACCTCGGGGAAAAATACACAAAGACACGCCTCCTTGTCTAATAGAACAACTGTCAACAATCAACGAAACGCAGTAACAAAACATGTTATTTAACAAGAATAAAGTCCTAAAAACATATATCAAGTGTAGGATTTTAGGTTTTCACGACGGTGAGTCCGAAGACGGCTGTCGTCCGGTTTGAAGCGCCGTGTAAGTCTGGTAGTTCACCAATGTTTTAGAGGTCCTTGCTGCTTCCATCATCAGGACGATGACTTTGGTAAACTTCTACCAGACCACTCGGTTCTACAACCCAGAAGATAGCCATCTTCTCGCATGAAGTGTGGCTATATACTCCTTAGTAGGCTACAGTTACGTCAAATTGTAACAGATCAAAGCTGCAACCAGGAATGTCGTCAACTCCCATCTTCTGCTAACCTCTCAATATGTCTATTCCCTTTCGGCGTTCTGACTGAAATTTCGTCTTTCTCATCTGCATCTGCGTGTTAAATGGCCTACGTGTCTTATTCTCATTCATTAGACCACCGTGATCATATTTAGTAAAGATATCGCTTTTCCTCTACGAGTTATTCTTTCATCAATATCTTTGTAACAGGCTTTTCATATACAATACCCGTCTGTCCTTACCATACACTAATTTTTAACATGAATACAGCAAGGACATCTTATTTCACGTATCACCGAACAGACTTTCAGTCTAGTAACATCAACAGACACTACAAATTTATATACCTGTGTGTGTGTGTAAGTGACGAAGTCCTAATGTTGCAATGTGTTATCAGTATTTTCGAGACATTCTCCTTCCCGTGAGTAGCGACTCAACATCATCTTACCACGAGACACGGAATTGTCCCGTGAGATTCAAAACAATAACGGTAATTACTACATACAAGGCATGTCAAAACACTTCATTCACACACGACAAAGAACCAGTAAACCATTGAAATGTCCGAACAATTTCGGTTAAATAATTTTAATATGACTTAAGACTTGATATGTAACAGAAAAAAATAATATATGTGGTAATGGCACCTTTTCCAAAACATTTTTGGTTCGAGACCAGAGGTCTATTCTTCAGTTCTTCTCTAATTGTGAGATAATATTTCCAGTTCCTGCCCCGTTCTTAGTCTCCAGACTGTCTCTAATTGGCCTACATACATTAACCCCGTATTACTTACATTTGTCTGGAGGGCGAAGAAATAAAAAAGAAAACTACCTTTACTCCGAGGCCAGCCAAGAGCCTCGTCATAGATGAAGCCCCTAGCTTAGAACAGAAGATATGATAATGTGGAAACGAAGACCTGCTCTAGTACAAAGTAGGACTGATGTTTCAAAGTAAAGGTGAGGGACGCATAACAAAGATTTCGAAGGCAATGAACATCCATCCTGTATACACAAAGGTAATAAAATAAAATAAAATAAAACAAGATTCACACTTACAGATTTATTATGTCTAGTTTCATTGTCGCTCTGAATGTCGTTATAACGCAAAAGTACTTCGAGCGGTTGCAATATTGTTCGTCATGAATACGCAGACCTCCAATGGACATGCAATTCAGGCAGGAATTACACAAAAATCGGTATCTTTTCTAAACTGTGATTATAAATCTCGTAGGCCGAATGAAGAGCACACATGCACACTGATCTATTATTAGGGTTCCACTTGAAATTCGCCCTGAAACCGTGTAAACATTTTAACAAGGAAATTACAGCTTAGTACAAACCTTATCAGAAATCTATGTGGTGTTTCACACTACGAGCACATAGACATTTTGTGTATTTCATGTCAGAAATGTTTTATGTTATATTAGAAAGAATATTTTTCCGTGAAGTGGTCTCTTGTACAACGCACTTGTGAAAGTGCTCATTCTCTGACAGGGATTTTCTTATCAGTACTGAAATATCTTACTATATTCCTGTATAGCGGTATATTGATCGCTTCAAGCATTAAGGGGTGTACAAGCATCGAAATGTTGTTCACTTAGAAAGCTTATATAAATAAGCAATTACAAGTTTGCCAGAAAATAAACAGTGATCTCTTCTGCAATATAAAAACTGGTATGGTCACCCAATAAACAGACCAAAATGTCAAGTTCCTTAAATTTAGGGATGACAGAATAATTGCCAATACGTCACACCTATAAGTAGTTGTCAGTAATTAAAAATCCTCCATAAACAAATTACGAAGGGAAAATAGACATTTCATATTATATAAAATAATAGGGCCGATAACTGATTGGGCGTGTAACCCTTAAAGTACCATAATCTAATAAACAAACTACTAATAAATTGCCCATGAAGAATGAGGAGAAAACACAAAGTAGTGAACATATTATCACAAATGTTACCTCATAAGGCCCCAAAATCCCTTAACAATACTTCCACTTCCTTCGGTCACCTCTGTCTAGTGTGTGCTAGGACAAAACAAAGGGCTTATGTCTTAATGCATAAAACAATCTATACCCGCCTCTGTTCGGTCGCGCATAAAACTATCGATTTGATATTTAAACAACTTGTCTCCATGCCTTGATTCGGCGTTGAACAATATAAAAATGTGTGACGTCACATCTATATATATATATATATAAAATTTGAATATAATAATAAGTAAAAACAGATATGTGTTTATTCTCTTTCAATGCATTAAATTCATGGCCAGGCCGTCGTATCTATATGTATTATAATTCTCGAAATAAACAGTAATTATTTCCTTGAACTGCAACAAACTGATCTTTGTAAGACACTCGGTTTTTTATTCGTTTTAGATGCTTAATTTGCAAATCGTATTATTCAGACGACCTTTGAGCTTCAAAGGGATAAGAGGTTGAAGAGCTTCGTTGCTAACGAATTTTATTAAAGAAAGATTATAAGATTAATCTAATATAGGACCTACACATAGTTGGCAAAACTAGCATCTGTTTCAAAGTTGTAAGAGATTAGAAGTAACTTCATTACACTAACAGGCCAGGCTTGCAGTTTTTTCTTTTCTGTGAAAAATGAAGGCGAAAAGCGACTGCTTCAGGAGGTTCCTTACAGACTTCCATAGCAAGCCTATGTGTGTACTGTATTTATATTCTCCTAAATAAAAACCAAGTTACGTGCGGTGGAACAACAACAACAATAATAGTGTCAATGGAAAGTGAAACACAGTAACTGTACTCAGAAATAAAGGCAGTTGTACAAGATCCGACTAATCCCGTTACGCCGTTGGCCTATATAGAACGACTGAAGGAAAAATTATACTATTCAGAGCAAGAGCGGTATACGAGAATATCAATTTAAAGCCGCACAGAAGGAGTTTACGTTGCTGTGTCATGCACTGTAGCTACAGAAATTATTTTCTAGTTGTTGTAAATCACAAACCTGAACGCTATGGCCGACAGTGACGTTTCAGCTAGTTCCGAACTCAAAGGACGCGATCTGAAAGAAAAAAAACAGTTCTTGTTGGTAGCAAAAGGAAGAAAAAAATATAATTCTAGTCCCAAATCTTTCGAGAATTACATCTATTTTACTTCTCCACATATAAAATAGGGTCACAGTGAAGTGTCAGAAAAATATGGAGCCAATACAAATTATTATTTTAGGATATTCCAGAATACTCAATTTACAATTACAAGAACGTATTGAGTTTGTTGTATTGAGAACTGTTGAAATTTAAGAAGTCAGCCAGCCACGATGATAGCGTCTTAGCAGTTTGAAGGTTACCCGTCAAGGAACATGTTTCGCCTGCAAACATGCCTTGAGAAGGTGGTGAATATGCTGTAACAGTTTTGAAATAAAGTTACAAAAACGGATAGTGTTTTGCCTTTGGTTGCAGCCTTTAAGAACAACCTGTAGATTTAGTGACACATTCTGTGGCACCTAAACTTTGTTTACGCGGTGAGCGAAAAGCGAGCAAATCCCGAAGAAATTGTACTGACGAATATTTGCTGCATAACAAACGTCCCACGTGAACTGACCTGGTCTGGAACAGTGCATTAACCACAGATAAATAATGCAGCCTACTTCATTACTAATGAAACTGCCGCTGAATTAACCTTTTAAAGCAATTGGGAATTGATGATGGCTGTCTTCTGGGTTGTTGCGCCGTGTAGGCTGGCAGAAGTTTACCGACGTTTGATACCTCCATCATGAGGTCCTGATGATGGAGGCACCAAGGACTCCTGAAACGTCGGTAAACTTCTACCAGACTATATGGCGCAACAACCCAGAAAACAGCCATCTTCAGACTCGCCGCCGTGAAAGCTCAAATCCTACTAAATTGGAAATTAAATGTAACATCTGTTTCAGCAATCAAGAACTCTTCATTTTGTGCGTGGGTTCCGTATGATTCTCAACGTAAGTATATAGAGATTATTTCCTTAAACAGCATTAACCATTTGACTTTTGTAATGGTGAAATATTGTGTTCTCTTTGCGGGACGGACTAATTCTTGAATATTATCTAGACGAGCCTCTTATTCCAAGGGGTTAGGTCCGACTAATAGTTCACATTTATAATCGGTATACCAATCACCATTAATAAGTTAATCACCTGATTAATCTCTAAATTAATCAGCTAAAAGAACGTTACGCTGTCAAGGGAAAGATTAAATATCTCATTATGAAATTAATAATGCGTTTATTTGAAACTTGGTGCTTGAAGGAACTTATTGCACGGAGTGTTCCAAATTATGACCGATGGATGGAACTGACAACGCTATATGGGACTTCAGTTTAAATTTGTAAAAATAAATTCAGTGGCAATACTTAGACAGAATGTGCCTCTAAAACGTCGATAAACGTCTACCAGTCTACAAGACGCAACAACCGAGAAAATCTTGATTGTAGGGACCTTGCTTCTGTAGGAAACATTAAATACGTGTAAAATGGCAGTTCAACCTGAAGGTGGTGCAATCTGTTGAGGGAATCGCTTACTTAGAAAAAAGTAACGGTGGCTCGGCGGAGCACACCTATTCAACACAATCTGCATACTTCTTCTTGTTCCTTGGTCTGACACACTTTCTGAATTGCACATATTACCAATTAAAGGATTAATTGGGGAAGAAGGGCAAGTGGCCTATTAAAACATGGCACACACAACATATGCCTCGGGGGACCAAAAACCAAGGTGTCTGTCAAGATAAACGGCCTCCGACTGGAACTTGGGACTTCTAATTCGAAGCATAACCGCCAACAACTACATAAATAATTACGTTTTGTTACGACAGACATTTAGTTATTTAATAAATATATATTTCACTGTTGGAACGTTAGCTGACTATTCACCTACATCTAGCACCAAGTATAAGAGTGTGTGGAACATTATCTCCAAACCCTAGTACGCCTTCGTGGAGAGGTGATTACGCACGCAACGAATTTGTTTATTTATGTAAGATTACATAAGTCGATCTTCAAATAACTGAGTTTTATAAGTAACCGAAAATAAAGAAATGACTTCGCCACATTACATACTCATTCTTTTCACCCATAAAATTCAACGATATACCCATACTGTTTATACTTATATAGCCTTATTAATTTTTCAGGAAACTATAAAACAAATTTTCTTCTCAAGTCTACAGAAAGACGTTTTAAGCTTAAACCAGGCTGTGAGCATTCTGGAGCCAAAGAACCCCCCCCCCCCCGCGAGGGTGTGGATTGGATTAATATGGCTCAGGGCAGATAACGGAGTTCCTTCTTAGTGACAGATTGGGTATATACTTATAATTTTGAGAACATTTATATCTGTTTCAGAAATATGTGTAATTTCATTGTATCTGGTATGGAATTTTTGGTGGACAGAACTGTTAAATAATTGTATATGGGCCACGATATTTAGATTTAACATGTAACCGATTATCAGTTGATGGAGAAGTGCTTCCAATTCTAGTGCGCCTGAGAGCTTGCAAGCCGCAAAACAGGCATGTAGGGTGTGTTGCCAGCCAACAACCTGTTCAACGTATCTGGGCCAGGCACGCGATCAAGTCGAAACACGTCGTCACCGTCTCGAAGGGGAGATTAGTTCAGCTGAGCAGAACACTTCCCATGCTCACAGACTCCGGAATGAGGCTCTTATTTAAACAAAATAAGTTCTTGGAACTTCATTAAATTGCATTTCCTTGATCAAACGTAGATTACCTTGATCGGAATTTAATATCTTCAGCTAATTCCTTTCATTAATACTGCAAGCAAAATGAGAATTTTTCTGTTAACTTGCTGACTAATTCGGTTGTTGCTTTGTAATCGACGGGAACAGGATAGACTAAGAAACACGATAGTGAACCTCGATGATGTCAAAATTACTGCAGACGTCGGGAGATGAAACCTGAAGTATATTTTACGTCCGGGTTATAGGAAACATCTCCTGATATTCTAACACGTCATTATTCCCCCCGTTTCTTCAAATATAATTATTTTGTGATTCCGCTTATCACGCAGTCGATTCTAGTCTTTTCCAACTACTTTCTGGTTTATTTATGGCAACAATTACTACATTTATGGTGGTCACTTGTGATAAAGTGTACAAGATGATCGTTGTCTAGTTTCTATACCGCTACGGTAGAAAAACTCTAATATTCGACAGTGCTCTTGCCAAAATCTGTCATAGAACACTGTCCACAGTCAGTTTTGTCCACTCTCCAATCTTCAGAATATAGTTCCCCAAGACCGATCTTAAATGTTATATTTTCATCTCCTATTAGGTCTTTAAAACGGATGTTTCACTCCACCAAAAATCTGCATGCGGTCCTAGTTTCACCATCTTGGCCACATGCCAGGCCACCGTAGCCTCTTTAACTATCTATCCAATGAAACGACCTGTGTAAACCATGAAGTTTCTCGTTATGTACCGCAATATCCTGAATCCATTCCTTACTTCATCCTTCTGAGGTCCTAATGTTTTCACGACCACCCTTGTGTCAGAGACTTGTGTATGTTCTTCCAGCAAAATGAGCTAACATCTTTTCTTGCATATAAAACTGAGAAAATGGCTTTGTGTGTTCTTCCTTAACCTTTTGAATTTTGTCCAAAATATATTTGAGGATTCAGTCCGTAGTCCGTACCGCAAAGAAAAAACAGAACTTCACCATTACAAATATCAACTGATTCACGCTATCTAAGGAAAGAGTTGCTGTTTACAGTTAGTAGAATAATACGAAATAAATAAATATAAGTGAAGAGTTACTGATTATTGAAACAGGTAGTACATGTAGCTGTCAGTGGTATTTAAAGGGTTAAGCGTTTTAAAATTTAAGTCTTCCACTGAAAATTTATAAGCACTTTCAGAAAATAATCTTGTAATGTCATCTTGAACCTCATTTCTATTTTTACTTGTCCCAGATTTTTTAAATATTGATATATTACCAAGTATTTGTTCCATGTACTTGTATTACGGCTTCCTTTCCGATTTTGGTGCCACGTTTTCCTAATATTTTTCCCTAGTCAGACACCATACTGACTAGACAACCCTGACTCCTCTTCTGATCGTTCATTCTTTACACATTATGAGGCTGATGCAATAAAGGAAAAAAGATGGACGGAATATGCAAATTTTTGTAGTAAAGACACCACTTGTGAGACACAGACATGCACAGAAATACAGTATTAAAAAGAAAGGTAAAACTGTTGATTAGATTAAACTGTTGAGGATATAAACCAGTGTTGGGTTCTTGTGGAATACGGCAATAAACCATTGGGTTCCATAAAAGGCAGATAATTTATTTATCTGTCAAGTGACTACAGCTTCTCAAGGACTATACAGCATTGAGCTAATTATCTAAAATCCACTTTGGCTAGTGGTCAGAGAAAAATTCTTAAATTAAATGTGTGCAGGAAACAGAATTTTAAAGCAGTATAGAAACACAGCATTATATACAATGTGTAAATTATAAAATAAATAATTTTCAACACCCTACCATCGCTCAAACAAAATTCCTTCGAAGTGGCTGTCACCCTACGATGTCACTAAGTTCAGCCATACTTAGACCTACGCTTCAGATATTAGTTTATGCCGAAACCCAGAGGCCAACATAACACCGCCAGGAGTGCTCAAATTTCCAGAGTTCAGGCATGTAATGCGTACTCCCAGCGGCGCACAACAGGGGTCAGACACGCGTCCGGTAATCTCCCAGCCTCCCCTGACAGAGGGAGTGATATTCACAGCGGGGGTTTGTGTGGGCGGCTAATAAACGGGTCAAAGAGATATACCCTATCTCCGTTTCCAGTGACTGGTTTCGTCATCATACAACCCTCTCGTCAGACCTCCTACTCCAATTTAAGTAGAATTTCAAGTTTGTAGACTTGTAGTTTGCATTTAGTTGGTACATACTCGTGTACTGCTTATTATCGATTTTAACGTTCATCCAACTCCATACGTTATAAATCAATTGTCAAAGTCAATGAAGCAAACTACGTCAAAACAACAGTCTTCATCAAGAAGCT